TTATCTAATTATGGATTAAAGCAGTCTATAGAATTTGGGGTAAAGCATTATTTAAATGTGTGCTTTCACGGTTGTACCATTAAATAAACTGACCATTTTCTTCAAATGGAAGACTTGACAGTCCAACAAGCACTCCACTCCAATCACAAGAAAAGGGACATAATCATACTGACCTTGATATTATTCATTGGAATGCTTCTGTTGGGTCTGTGCATAATGCTCTATGTCCGGAAAAGGAAGAAGAAGAATTTACAGCTGCACACAGAAGGTAATCCAGATGAGTCATTTTGTCGTAAACATGCGTATCTTTCTCTTAATTCAAATAGAAAAGGACCCAAAAGAAAGTATGCTCATTTATTCTTTAATAATGTGTTTCAATATGCAGTGTATTGCTTTGATGGAATAAATAGTCTCATTTACACCCATTCCATCTCATACTTTGCAGGAAACCTAGCACATAACTCCAAACAAAGTTACACTAACCAAATTGAGAAGGAAGATCTAGAGTTGCCCTTGTTTGACTTTGCTACAATAGCTAATTCTACAAATCAATTTTCAATCGACAATAAGCTTGGAGAGGGTGGATTTGGACCTGTTTTCAAGGTAACAATCTCAATACATTCTTATGTAGTTTCTTTGAACCTACCTAAAACTTAGGGGTATTGTTTGGTGCTATTGTAAAAGCTTAGTCTGCTAAGCATGAAAATGACCGGCTTGAGTCTTAGAGAAGCCACTCTGTGTGAATAATGCCAAAGGTTTGGTCTGTCTCTAGTCGTACCCATATATAATTTTAATAACCAGACTTTTATCTGAAAGAACTATTTTATCTATGAAATTGTCTTAACAAAAAATGATTGAAAAGTTTGCATAAAAAGTGATGGTGAATGAAGGTCTTATCCTATCCAAATAATGTGAAGAAGTTGTAAATCTGTAAACCTACTTCACCCGTCCCAATATAAGGCCACACAAAAGTAATCCATAATATACAAGAACAGTTTTATTTGGCATTACACAAAATATTTTCCTTTCAGTTTTTACAGAACACATTTGGTGTGACATATCTTTTCATATATGAAGCTTAGTACATATGTGGAGTGAACTTCTTGTATGCATGAATTTGTGTATTGTTATACATGATCGCTCTTATTGGAACAATGTCAGCCATTGGAATATAAGAAAGTAAAAGATACAACAATGAGGAAGGGAAAGAAAAGAAGTGACTTCTTTTAAGTTTTAAGTATACTCTAGCCATCGAAATGGTAATCTTCAGGGTAGACTGGAAGACGGACAAGAAATAGCTGTTAAGCGGCTCTCAAAATATTCCAGACAAGGAGTCGATGAGTTCAAAACTGAAGTCAGCTGTATTGCTAAACTTCAGCACCGAAATCTCGTGAAGCTTCTAGGATGCTGCATTCAAGAAGAAGAAAAGATGTTAATCTACGAATTCATGCCTAACAAAAGCCTGGACTTCTTCATCTTTGGTTTGGCTCTCTCAAAACTGTAGTAATTATAGTGCAACTAGTCTACTCTTGGACCAAGGTCAAGTGGCCAAACATGTATGCAGAGAAATAAACAAACTGTGGCAGCTAGCAATAATTTTGTTTAAATTCTTTTGGTTCCATTGAACGGTTGAATTATTGAAGATGGGACTGAAAATTATATGGTTCTATTGCTACATATGCAGTTGCATGACTTGGTCTTCCGAGAAATTTATGATTTTCTATTATGTATTTTTTTTCTTGTTAAATTCAATTAGGCGTATGAACTCACCTGGATGAAAATCTGGGCAGATGAAAGCAGGAAAACCTTACTGGACTGGCCCATGCGCTTCCACATTATTATTGGAATTGCCCGTGGGCTTCTTTATCTCCATCAAGATTCCAGATTGAGAATCATTCATAGAGACCTCAAAGCTAGCAATATTTTGCTAGATATTGAAATGAACCCAAAAATATCAGATTTTGGCATGGCTAGAATTTTTGGAGGAAATGAGATAGAAGGAAATACAGAGAAAGTGGTTGGAACATAGTAAGAATCTCTTCACGTGCTCTATACAATCATTTACTTGTTATTCATTGATACTCAGTTTCCTTATTGAATGCTTTGCTGTAGTGGCTACATGTCTCCAGAATACGTGGTGAATGGGCTTTTCTCTATAAAATCAGACGTTTTTAGTTTTGGTGTTCTGGTGTTGGAGATTGTGAGTGGAAAGAGAAACAGAGGTTTCTTTCATCCTGATCACCACCTCAACCTCCTTGGACATGTGAGTTTATAGTCTGGAAAATATCATCTTATATGTGTTCAACTTCAAACCAGTAGTGATAATACCATTTTGAATTTGTTCAGGCGTGGAGACTGTAGAAGTTTTAATGTATAAAGAGAAATAGAGAATTGTATAGATATTGATTGTATTATTAATTGATATCTATTACAATGATTCATGATTCCTATATATAGAAGAGGGTGAGTGTGTAGTAGGTAAGGAGTAGGTGAAGTGGAGGTGGTAGTGGTGTAGTGGGTTAGGTTTAGTGGAGTAGGTGAGATGGTAGTGGTGTAGTGGGTTAGGTTTAGTGGAGTAGGTGAGATGGTAGTGGTGTAGTGGGTTAGGTTTAGTGGAGTAGGTGAGATGGTAGTGGTGTAGTGGGTTAGGTTTAGTGGAGTAGGTGAGATGGTAGTGGTGTAGTGGGTTAGGTTTAGTGGAGTAGGTGAGATGGTAGTGGTGTAGTGGGTTAGGTTTAGTGGAGTAGGTGAGATGGTAGTGGTGTAGTGGGTTAGGTTTAGTGGAGTAGGTGAGATGGTAGTGGTGTAGTGGGTTAGGTTTAGTGGAGTAGGTGAGATGGTAGTGGTGTAGTGGGTTAGGTTTAGTGGAGTAGGTGAGATGGTAGTGGTGTAGTGGGTTAGGTTTAGTGGAGTAGGTGAGATGGTAGTGGTGTAGTGGGTTAGGTTTAGTGGAGTAGGTGAGATGGTAGTGGTGTAGTGGGTTAGGTTTAGTGGAGTAGGTGAGATGGTAGTGGTGTAGTGGGTTAGGTTTAGTGGAGTAGGTGAGATGGTAGTGGTGTAGTGGGTTAGGTTTAGTGGAGTAGGTGAGATGGTAGTGGTGTAGTGGGTTAGGTTTAGTGGAGTAGGTGAGATGGTAGTGGTGTAGTGGGTTAGGTTTAGTGGAGTAGGTGAGATGGTAGTGGTGTAGTGGGTTAGGTTTAGTGGAGTAGGTGAGATGGTAGTGGTGTAGTGGGTTAGGTTTAGTGGAGTAGGTGAGATGGTAGTGGTGTAGTGGGTTAGGTTTAGTGGAGTAGGTGAGATGGTAGTGGTGTAGTGGGTTAGGTTTAGTGGAGTAGGTGAGATGGTAGTGGTGTAGTGGGTTAGGTTTAGTGGAGTAGGTGAGATGGTAGTGGTGTAGTGGGTTAGGTTTAGTGGAGTAGGTGAGATGGTAGTGGTGTAGTGGGTTAGGTTTAGTGGAGTAGGTGAGATGGTAGTGGTGTAGTGGGTTAGGTTTAGTGGAGTAGGTGAGATGGTAGTGGTGTAGTGGGTTAGGTTTAGTGGAGTAGGTGAGATGGTAGTGGTGTAGTGGGTTAGGTTTAGTGGAGTAGGTGAGATGGTAGTGGTGTAGTGGGTTAGGTTTAGTGGAGTAGGTGAGATGGTAGTGGTGTAGTGGGTTAGGTTTAGTGGAGTAGGTGAGATGGTAGTGGTGTAGTGGGTTAGGTTTAGTGGAGTAGGTGAGATGGTAGTGGTGTAGTGGGTTAGGTTTAGTGGAGTAGGTGAGATGGTAGTGGTGTAGTGGGTTAGGTTTAGTGGAGTAGGTGAGATGGTAGTGGTGTAGTGGGTTAGGTTTAGTGGAGTAGGTGAGATGGTAGTGGTGTAGTGGGTTAGGTTTAGTGGAGTAGGTGAGATGGTAGTGGTGTAGTGGGTTAGGTTTAGTGGAGTAGGTGAGATGGTAGTGGTGTAGTGGGTTAGGTTTAGTGGAGTAGGTGAGATGGTAGTGGTGTAGTGGGTTAGGTTTAGTGGAGTAGGTGAGATGGTAGTGGTGTAGTGGGTTAGGTTTAGTGGAGTAGGTGAGATGGTAGTGGTGTAGTGGGTTAGGTTTAGTGGAGTAGGTGAGATGGTAGTGGTGTAGTGGGTTAGGTTTAGTGGAGTAGGTGAGATGGTAGTGGTGTAGTGGGTTAGGTTTAGTGGAGTAGGTGAGATGGTAGTGGTGTAGTGGGTTAGGTTTAGTGGAGTAGGTGAGATGGTAGTGGTGTAGTGGGTTAGGTTTAGTGGAGTAGGTGAGATGGTAGTGGTGTAGTGGGTTAGGTTTAGTGGAGTAGGTGAGATGGTAGTGGTGTAGTGGGTTAGGTTTAGTGGAGTAGGTGAGATGGTAGTGGTGTAGTGGGTTAGGTTTAGTGGAGTAGGTGAGATGGTAGTGGTGTAGTGGGTTAGGTTTAGTGGAGTAGGTGAGATGGTAGTGGTGTAGTGGGTTAGGTTTAGTGGAGTAGGTGAGATGGTAGTGGTGTAGTGGGTTAGGTTTAGTGGAGTAGGTGAGATGGTAGTGGTGTAGTGGGTTAGGTTTAGTGGAGTAGGTGAGATGGTAGTGGTGTAGTGGGTTAGGTTTAGTGGAGTAGGTGAGATGGTAGTGGTGTAGTGGGTTAGGTTTAGTGGAGTAGGTGAGATGGTAGTGGTGTAGTGGGTTAGGTTTAGTGGAGTAGGTGAGATGGTAGTGGTGTAGTGGGTTAGGTTTAGTGGAGTAGGTGAGATGGTAGTGGTGTAGTGGGTTAGGTTTAGTGGAGTAGGTGAGATGGTAGTGGTGTAGTGGGTTAGGTTTAGTGGAGTAGGTGAGATGGTAGTGGTGTAGTGGGTTAGGTTTAGTGGAGTAGGTGAGATGGTAGTGGTGTAGTGGGTTAGGTTTAGTGGAGTAGGTGAGATGGTAGTGGTGTAGTGGGTTAGGTTTAGTGGAGTAGGTGAGATGGTAGTGGTGTAGTGGGTTAGGTTTAGTGGAGTAGGTGAGATGGTAGTGGTGTAGTGAGAGAGAGAGACAATGCCCGAGAGAGAGAGAGAGACTTTGCTTTCTGTGCTGAAATAGAAACTGTGCAGGTTACTGTCTTACACTTCTTCAGGCTTGACTCACTGCTCTCTGTTTTTACTTCTCACACATTGACCGTCCAAGTGAGTGACAAGGAAAGCAATAGCATTGAAGCTGCCATTCCAGCAAAGCTTGTCATTAAAAGACTTTTCCTTCCTTGTTTGTCCATCAAAGAGGATGCTATTGTTGTACCAAAAACATTTGATGCCCCAACGAGAGCACTAGCTGCAACATCAGATGTGATTCCAACACTGCGAAATACAGACGTAGAATAATATACAACAGCATTTATTCCAGTCAACTGTTGAAACAAGAAAAGTGCTGCACCAACACTGACAACTTTCCAATAGCGGCCACTAAAAAGATCAAACCAACCAGCTTCTGGTTCTGAAGAACCTTGACTAGCTGCACTTAAGTCATTCATAACCTCAGTAACTTTTTCTTTTCCAAATAGAGTTTTTATAGACATTTCAGCTTGAGAAATTTTTCCTTGCTGATAAAGCCACCGAGGGTTTTCTGGAGAAAATGCCATTCCCAATGCCAATAGAACAGAGGGTATCATTGCAATACCAAACATTGACCTCCACCGTAAAGGGTTTCCTGCTAAGGGCAACCCAGCCACCAATGCTGCAAGAATCCCAATACAGATAAACAGTTGGTTGACAGATCCAAGTGTGCCACGAATTTCAGTTGGTGAGATCTCAGATATGTAAAGTGGCACAATAGCAGATGAGATGCCAATTCCAATTCCAGCAAGTAAACGGCAAGAAGCTCACATCAAGACAGCTCGTTGACTTCTACCTGAACCGAATCCAGGAGCTGAATCTGGTGCTTCGCGGCGTAGTGGAAGTGATGCAGAAACAGTTGAGAGATGAGAGGTCCGGCGGGCGGCCAAGGCAAGGCTACCGCCCGCCGGTGAAGCAAAAATGCTAGGCTCAACCTTGCTCTGATACCATGTAGAAATTTTAATGTATAAAGAGAAATAGAGAATTGTATAGATATTGATTGTATTATTGATTGATATAATGTTATATATTACAATGATTCATGATTCCTATATATAGAAGAGGGTGAGTGTGTAGTAGGTAAGGAGTAGGTGAAGTGGAGGTGGTAGTGGTGTAGTGGGTTAGGTTTAGTGGAGTAGGTGAGGTGGTAGTGGTGTAGTGGGTTAGGTTTAGTGGAGTAGGTTTAAGTGGGTGAAGTAGGTGGAGAGTAGGTGGATTTTAACATAATTTTATCTAGGACTTAGTGGATTATAAGTTCACAAAATGGGACTTGTATGTAAATGGCCCTAAATTTATTAGTCTCTTGTTTTTATGAATAAATTTACAGTGATAATTTATCAGTCAGAACATGTAGATAAATAAATTTAATTATTAGAACTAATTGATAAGTACACTTCATAAAATGTCTGTATGTGTAAGTGAATTGCATATGGATTGTGATGTAATGCAAAAACTAAAGTACCTAGCCATATTTTAGGGAAACTATTTATTACTATTTATTAAATTAGCAAATTGTATGTATTTAAAATAATAAAATAACAACAAAAATAAAAGTAAAAGTCAGAAAATAATTTTTTTTTTCAGAAAATACAAGTAAACAAAAAAAATTCTTTTTCAAGTACAAAACAAGAACAATATCACAAATTGTAAATTAAATAAAATAAAATAAATAAACTTACAGAATGTAGATCAACAAAATGGAGAAATAAATAAAAGCTAAGGCGTGTGCTGGACACACACTACGCATATAAGAGTTTTGAAAATTTTGTTGCAAAATATATTTAAGGATCAATTTCTATCGTCCCAATGATAGTTGCTACAAGGTCATCCCAAAAAGTCAAAATAAGGTTTTTAGAGACAAAATTTTGAAAATGTCACTAATAAATACACTTTTATGGACAAAATAATTTGGTTTCAAAATGGTTTATTTTTTTAGACAAAAAAATTGGTCCCAAAATGATAATTTCATCACTAATGTCTAATTTTCGTTACTAAAAATATAATAACGACATTTTTCACAACAAAAATATTTTTTTCCTAAATTTTGGTCTCTAAAACTTAATTTTTTGTAGTGACACTTTCCTTAAGATTGTTATATCCTCGTTACGGTGCTGCAGAACAGATGACGCCGACCTCCCAAGATGCAATGACTGCACCCAAAAACATAACACTACGAATTTGGGTCTGGCGAACAGACTGTGTTGCACTCTCTCTCTCATAGAAAAATAGAGTAGGACAATATGCGGAAGATTGCAAGGAAGAAATGCGAAAATTGAATGAATGAATTGCTTGGAAAATGTCTGAATTTATAGGTATCATGGTGTCTGTTCGAATGGCTTTAGAGATCCTCTAACCAAGTGCGAATCTGGAAAAGTTGCGATCGAAGAAAGAGAAGGGAAATAGAGTAATAGTGAGGGAGAGATAGAATAGAGACTAAAGAGAGATAGAGTGACAGTGAGGGAGAGGTAGATCTGGTGATCGTCTCTTCCATCCTAGAAATATCTGTTTGTCATTCTGTTCTGTTTTGTAAATTGAAGGCCTTATTGGCATCCGATCACGAAATTGACTTGAATTATGTGTTAGTTAGAATTTTTAGAATTTTATGGTAGGTTTAATTAAGATTCAATTCGGAATGAATTAAATTAGAATAATTAATAGCAATTAATTAGCCACTAATGATATTCTCTAATCAAGCCTATATAAGGCCAAGAAATGACTCTAGGATATTAGATACACACTCATTTCCTCATCTTTTGAGCCTACAAATGTGTGAGAGAGAGAAAGAGACTGTAACAACCCCGATCCATGATTAACTGTTAAACCATGATTAAGCCATGATTAAGTATGCATAATAAGTAATTAAAATGAAATTCTGAATTAAGTGCATATGTGTTTCATTATATGTATTTCTATCTATTTACTGGCTCTGCTCCAACGCATGTATAAGGATGCGCGAGCAGAGATAAGTGTGCTAAAGGCGGAAAATAAGGAGCTGAAGCGGAAGGCCACCGTTATGTTCCGATTTGGAGGTCCGCCATATGCTGTAGTGGAGGAGTAGGGTGGAGTGATCGTGCCCAGTGGAGTGGGAAACACGGAGGCAACACTGTCAAGGGCCGCCCAGGACGGAGGCAAGAAGAAGAGACCGGCGGTAGAGTAGAGAAGAAAAATCCCGCCGGTGGATGTGGTTGTTTGTGTATTTGTTTTGTTTTGTTTTGTTTTTTTTTTTTTTTTGGTTGTGGTGTAAAATGGTGATCGGGGTTGATCCCTGAGATGAATAAAGTATGGTTTGGTGTGCAAAGCTATAAGGTATGAATGGAATTTGAAAAAGATTAAAAATAATGTGAAAGAAAAATAAAGAAAGAAATAATAAAAATATATTTGAAATCAAAATGAAAGATGGGGAAATAAGGAAAGTGGTCTGGAGAAAATAAATAAAAATAATGGATTTTGAAATCAAACGGAGGCGAGAGAGGGGACAAGCCCATGTGAGGAAAAGAGGGGTTTAAAGAAAGTGATCTGGTGGTACATAGCAGCAAGAGCAGCTCCAATGAAGGGTCCAACCTAGAAGATCCAATGGTCATCCCAAACATGATCCCTGTTGAAGATGATTGCAGCTCCAAGACTTCTGGTTGGATTGATGCCAGTTCCTGTGATGGGGATGGTGGCCAAATGAACCAAGAACACCGCGAACCCAATTGGAAGAGGAGCCAAAAGAGGGACATGGGAGTCTCTGGCATTTCTCTTGGCATCAGTGGCAGAGAAGACAGTGTAGACAAGGACAAAGGTGCCAACAATCTCAGCACCAAGGCCATCACCCTTGGTGTAACCATGTGCCACAAAATTGGCCCCACCATTATTTGCCTGATAGATAGATGGCTGGAAGCCCTTGACAACACCAGCGCCACATATGGCACCAAGGCACTGCATCACTATGTAGAAAACAGCCCTTGTTAGGGACAGCTTCCTTGCCAGAAACAATCCAAAGGTCACTGCTGGGTTAATATGTCCTCCTGAGATACCAGCAGTGCAGTAGACAAGGGCAAAGATCATACCACCAAAAGCCCAAGCAATCCCTTGAATACCCACAGAGGCACACTTGGTAGGTGCCCTAACAACACTCATGACAGTCAAAAGAGTGATGTATAAGAAGAGGAAAGTGGCCATGAACTTTGCAATCCCAGCCCTGTAAAAGGACCATGATTTCAACTCCCCTGGCTCAAACAAGGGAGCTGGTGGTGGCTTCTTGTAGTCCTTGTCTGTCTGAGCTGCTGTGCCTATTGGTTGTCTCTCTGTGAACTTGTTAGCTCCAAGCTTCACATCCTCTTCCTTACCCTCCATTGTTGCTCTGTTTTTCTCTCTAGAACTCTGTTTTTCTCTCCCTTTAGAGACTGAACTAAACAGTAGTAGAAAGAAAAGCTTGAGAAGGTGGTGTGAGTTGCTGCAGTGGTTATTGGCGGTGATTGGAGAGAAGGTATGTGTTAGAGGTTTCAATTGGTTGAGGTCTGGCGGGTGGTTAAGGCAAAGTTGCCGCCCGCCAGAAGGCGAAGAGCACCAAGAGCTTAACCTATAGCTCTGATACCATGTAAAATAAATTGATGTATTATTGATTGATGATTTATTGAATGTTACAATGATTCCTATATATAGAAGAGTAGGTGGTAGTAGGTGGTAGATGGAGTAGGTAAAGTGGAGGTGGTAGGTGGAGTAGGTGAAGTGGAGGTGGTAGTGGTGTAGTGGGTTAGGTTTAGTGGAGTAGGTGAGGTGGTAGTGGTGTAGTGGGTTAGGTTTAGTGGGTGAAGTAGGTGATAGGTTTTAACAAAGGATGCATTGCCCTTGCCCAAACAGCCTGGCTTTTTTACTGAAAGGAATCTACCTGAAGCAGTTAGTTCATCCAGCAAGACTGCACCTAGTTCAGTCAATTATTACACCATTACAATAATAGATCCTCGATAATGTATTTATATATATACACATTATTTTATTGTTTATGGGCACTTTTTTGAATTAAATTCGGGTGTTAATTGAATTAAATTCATTTTTGCTGTTTATGGGCTCTTTTTTTTTTTAAACTCTGAATGCAAGAAAGCACAAAAAGAAACAGTATTTTCGCTAACCAGATTGCACTACCTAGAAGCAACCTCAAGCAACTATGGAAGGGATGAAATTCAGATCAAACGGGCAACCAAAGGGTAAGTGTCTGCAGCCACAACTATCCAGGACTAGGAGTCTCTTTCAAAACAAAATCTAACTTCAAAAACTGCAGGTCTGACAATAATGGTGGTATCCTAGATTCTTCACAGATTCAACATTTGCTGTATGAGCAAGACATGTCGAAGCCTTCATTCCCCAGCCACAACAACTCCTTTTAAGTACCTGGCAATGTGGTATGTGTTACACGGTCTTATGTAATCCCAAAAGTTAGTTATTGAGGCAAGGGTGTCCTCACGCTTATATAGTGCATCGTATTAATTTCATACGCAGACATTGTGGAACTTCACTTCACAGTATGCTCAAGCAAAAGCTCCTCGACCCATGTAAAAGCTGTAATAAATATTGTGGAGCCTTAAAGATTAGGATGTCAACATGGATAAAAAAAAAACTTGAAAATAAGCTTGCCCAGAATGATGACAGTATTCTAAAATACAGACCATGAGAAGGGATTGACATAATGTCAAAAGTCTTCTATGATTTTGGTCAAACTTGTTTTGGGTGAGGATTGACTTCCCTAGCCTTCCAAGCGGAGTCCATGAGTACAGAAGCAAAAATCAGCATTTTATTCAACTTATTAGAATATAGTTATATTAACAAAATATATATTTAGATTGTTAAGGATTAAAATGGTTCACCTTACTTGACCTTTTTTTGCTTCTTTTTCATGTGATATTTTCAGTATTTAGTAATCCTTTTTTATTTTTATTTTTATAATCTCTCCTCAGCTTTCTTTGGTTGACTTTTACAGAGTTAGAGCCATATTTTCCCCGTTTTTTCTTCTCATTTTTCACTCCCTGGATGATGGAAAAAGACATTAATTACTAATTTTTGGTGCCTATGGTATTCAAGTTCAAACTAGTCTTGTCATGCTGTTTGAAAACATTTTTTTCCTACAAATAATTAATACTGTCATAGACGTCATTCTGTTCATCATACCAATTAGACCTTAACAAGTGCTCAACTAAATTGAATTAATTAAAAGAGAAGACTATATTAAAGAAATTGGTCAATTATCACCAAATAATTCCACTGTATGGTTTACCAATTCAATGGACCTCCAGAAACACACATACCAAGCAGCTTACAAGAAAACTCCATGTAACTGTTCTGTGCTTGTCTCTGTTTTGTGATTTATTCTGTGAAAAAATGACTAGTTTTGTTTTCCTACTTGAAATATAGAAGCATATGCTATGAAGAGAAGCCAGAGAATACTGATGGACGTCCTTACTTTACTTCTTTTCTGGCTTTTCATATTTTCCATCTTAACAATCTGTGCTGCAGTAGATACAATCGGTGCCAATCAAACCATTAGAGATGGGGTGACTTTAGTTTCAGCCGGAGGAAGCTTTGAACTCGAATTTTTCAGCCCGGGCAGTGGTAGGTCCAGAAACAGATACTTGGGAATATGGTACAAGGACACAGCTACTGGGACTGTGGTATGGGTTGCCAACAGAGATTTCCCACTCAATGACACATCTGGTCTTCTGAAACTAACCGACCAAGGAATTCTCGTCCTTTTAAATCCCACAGAGGGGGTCGTTTGATCTTCAAATTCATCAAGATTTACAAGCAGTCCACCGGCACAACTTTTGGAGTCTGGAAATCTTGTTGTCAACGACGGGAATGGAAATAATACGGAGAGCTTTTTGTGGCAGAGTTTTGATTATCCATCTGATACACTTTTACCGGGCATGAAGTTTGGGATGAACATGATGACTGGGCTGGACTGGTACCTATCATCCTGGAAGACCGGTGATGATCCAGCGCGAGGTGATTTTACATATGGGCTTGATCCGAGTGGATACCTACAATTTATCATAAAGAATGGTGCAGTGGAAAAAATGAGGTTTGGACCGTGGAATGGTCTTCGGTTCAGTGGAGTGCCGAATTTGAAGCAGAACTCAATTTTTACATTCGAGTTTGTGTTTAACCAGGTGGAGATTTATTACTGATATGAACAGATAAACAGCTCGGTTGTTACAAGGCTAGTGTTGAATCCAAATGGGGTCATCCAGCGGTTTGTGTGGATCAATCGAACTCATGGCTGGATTGCGTACACAACTCCACAGACAGACAACTGTGATTTTTATGAATTGTGCGGTGCATTTGGAAGTTGTAATATTGACAGTTCCACCATGTGCCAGTGCTTGCAAGGATTTGAGCCCAAATACCCACGAGAATGGTCTAATGGGTGCGTTCGTAGGACTCAGTTGGGTTGTGGGGTTTCAGATGGTTTTCTTCAATATTCCAATGTTAAATTGCCAGATACGCGGTATTGTTGGTTTAATGAGAGCATGACACTTGATGAATGTCGGGTTGGATGCTTGAAGAATTGCAGTTGCACAGCTTATGCAAATATGGATATCAGGGGAGGAGGGAGTGGATGCTTCTTATGGTTTGGTGACTTGATTGGTATAAGAACGTATAGCACAAATGGGCAAGATGTTTATGTAAAGGTAGCTGCTTCAGAATTAGGTATGGAATATCTGTTCCAAGGCAATTAAAATTGATGCAAACATGGAAATTTTTTCATAGAAAGTGCGCATTGTAGTGCTGCTCACTGCATTTTGTGCATTTTTCTAGAAGAATTTGTGTTTTTATTGTTTTTTCTTTCTTTTATTTTTTTAAATTGAGTTTTCCTTTACGAAAAAGTTAAATAAAAAAGAAAGCAACTTGCATTATGTGAAATATCATATTTGACCCTGGTTCTAACTTGCATCATCTGTATTATGCAATTTACACAAAAAATATGATTTAAAAACCGATAGTATAAGATTCAGCAACAAACCACTATTTATTCGAGTCACAGCCTAACAGTGCAGAGTTCGATGAAGTTTCCAGAGAGTTTTAACCATGTAAAAAATCTGAAGTCTCTGCCTTCTTGACGCTACCTTTGTGATGATAATTCATTCACATTTCTCAGGCCTCAATATTCCCCCAAAATACAATTAGTCATATATTTCCTGCTTTTAATAGTTTACATATAGGTCGAATTGGCCGGAGGACCATAGCAATCATCTTGGCATTATTAGCAGGAGTGTTTCTGACAGGTCTTAGCCTGACCGTTTACCTCTGGAAAAAGAAGCAGCAGCAGCGTCAAATTAGCGAAGGTAAGTCAAATGAGTCATTAGAACTTAAAATGCTAGCAAAATCAATGCATATTAGGTTTAATAAAATGCACTTCACCCCAACTTTTCAGTTAGCATGAGGTGTAGTTTCAATGAAGGTTGCACCAATGAAAGCCAAAAGCAAGATCTAGAGTTGCAGCAGTTTGACTTTGCTACCATAACTTATGCTACCGATAACTTCTCAATTAACAATAAACTTGGAGAGGGCGGTTTTGGACCAGTTTTTAAGGTAACAATTAGACACATTTCTAGCTATGCAGTTTCTTGGATAGTAGTTGACGGCCTATACCTGTGGTATCTACTAACTACTATCAGAAATGACAATTGTCTTCAGGGCGTGTTGGAAGACGGGCAAGAAATAGCTGTGAAGACACTCTTGAAGAATTCCAAGCAAGGGGTTGATGAGTTCAAAAATGAAGTCATATATATTGCTATACTCCAACACCGGAATCTTGTGAAGCTTCTCGGCTACTGCTTTCGAGGAGAAGAGAAGATGTTGATCTATGAATACATGCCTAACAAACGCTTAGACTTGTTCATTTTTGGTTTGGTTCTCTTCAAACTTTGTCATTTTGGGCACAAAAAACTAGTTATACTTTTCATACATGGTTTCATCATAATTTGTTGGGACCAATGTCAAGTGAAGGGGCCAATAACTTTTTATTTCCATTTTTAGATATAACACAACGCTTGTTACTAGATAGGCCTAAACGCCTCAACATTATCAATGGAATTGCTAGGGGACTTCTTTATCTTCATCAAGATTCCAGGCTGAGAATTTTACATAGAGATTTAAAAGCTAGTAATATTTTACTAGATAATGAAATGAATCCAAAAATATCTGACTAAATGTTGTTGTCGATTTGGCAAAATTGTTAAAATGTTGCAAAACGATATTACAAAACTTGGGTTTAGTCTAAGTTATCATTTTGTAATTATACAATGCAGATGATTAAGTTCATTTAATCTAAAGCATTATGCACAATGTTCTCCAAATAATCTTCTTTATTAGCTTTGGTTGGTCCACTAATTTGAAGGATGATCCACAAGAGGAAATCATTTCCAAAGAGAAAAAATTGTAGCAGCAGGAGATAAGAGAACTTTAAATACAATGACAGAACCTAAAGGTACCTTATCCGCCAACAAAACCGTGATCCTTATGTGCCCGCCAACAACGTTTTGGTAAAGAAAAAATAATTAAATTTTGGTAGGAAAACTAATGTGGCAATGGATATCTTTGCCAAACTTT